ACCCAAGATGTCCTGAGGATGGTACAGTACTCGAAAAAGAACAAGTGAGTGGTTCATATTTACATCTTTATATTCAGCCACTTTTGTTCCAAAAGACTATATATCCGCTATTAGCGGATAGTATTGTATCTTGTAAACGTCTTTGAAGTAGTATTTAAAACACGAGAAGGAGTGTTTTATCATATTTAAAACGCGAGGCGCAGCCGAGCGTTTTAGATATGATAAAACGCTAGTTCGAGTGTTTCAAGCAGCACACTAATCTCTACACGTGGTGTGCTTACCACGTGACCGCCGAGTTTATAGCCGCTACAATCTCGATTTATGTCATTCTGTCATCCACGGACGGGCCAAAACTAGCTGTTTTGATATTATTTTTTGGTTCCCGGGGGGGTTTGTTCACAACATGGCGACTGTTATAAACGGACAGAAATATAAAAATCATAAAATAATGCGAATTTCCATAAAAATTCCGAGTAATATTTGTGAAGATGAATGGGTAAATAAAGCACGGTGTTATTTTGTGTCCCTGGCGCAAGAATGATCGACAATATTTTGAATAATTCAGGTAAGGATGGCTTTATTTCGTTCTCGTATAGTGATGTAGTCGTGCCGTGTGCCCTGTCTACCTGTCTGGTGATATATTTTATAATACATGAAGGCATTTATATTTAAATCTGCTGTTTATACTTGTTTAGTCACTTTAGTGTATTAAACTTCGATATAAAGGCATTGAAACAAAATGATTTCAAGAATATATCGGCAATTATAATACCCACTGAATCACTGATCTATTCCCGACCAAATCGACAGTAATGATTAATGCCTTTATGCTGATACAAGAAGCAAATGAACTTTTAGTTTATTTGTTTGTTATGTCACTTAATATGTGCAAAGCCAAAGGCGGTGGGTATATAATAGTGTTCGGTACGTTCTATTTCTAAATGTTTATAGTTTAAAAACAAACGCGGGATGTTGTTAAATCAGGCTTAACAAGATTCCTAGAGCTACCCAGTGTGGATTGTTGTCTGCATAATATGGACTTATCAGCAATTACATGTAATATAGCATATCAACTGACTTTTGTATAAGATATGACTTGTATAAGGCCTCAGTTATATATAAAGCCTATAAACATGATTCTACTGACATACATTGATATATACATATGGCTGTTTTACCACAATAATGCTCACAACTTCAACTTCTTTCTAACAATATAGTTTTGCAGTTCTGACTGTTCTGAGTATGATCTTATTCATTCAGAAATATAAGCATTGCACTGTATTCAATGGCAAGCTATCCTGGATTCCAGAGCCTTCAGTTAATAATAAATTGAAATATCGTGAAGGCTCTGGTTCAACGGGAGGTTTCTTTGATTAAACTGTGCCAATCACAAAACAGAATTAGCAGTTTTAGTACAGATTTTGGGCGTGTTAACCCATTAAGCGCCAGCGCTTTCCCCTTGACGAGTAAAATCGTCTGGCGTTAGACAGAGTAAAATACTCTGGCGTTAGACAGAGTAAAATACTAAAGTAGGGTGCATCAGGGTGCAATGCGACCCAAAGGGTTAACTAGACACATGGGCAGATAGATCAGTTAACACATTAAGCGCCACCACTCTCCCCTTGACAAGTAAAATCGTCTGGCGTTAGACAGAGTAAAATACTGTTCAAAGTAGGGTGCATCAGGGTGCAATGCGACCCAATGGGTTAACTAGACACATGGGCAGATAGATCAGTTAACCCATTAAGCGCCAGCACTCTCCCCTTGACGAGTAAAATCGTCTGCCGTTAGACAGAGCAAAATACTGTTCAAAGTAGGGTGCATCAGGGTGCAATGCGACTCAATGGGTTAATATAGTACATAACATAGGTCATAGACATACAGTTTCAATACAATACAAAATGATTTTGAACAACGTCAAGGTCAATGAAATCATACAAAATGAATTTATGGAATATCAACTAAATGTATTTAAAACAAACATAATTTCAACATCCCAATAAGCAATAACATCCCAGTAAGTATAAATTCAACTATTTTAAATCAATTGTTTGAATAGCCAAATTAAAAGTTGTACGAGTGACAAAATCATTCAATAATATTCACATTTTATCATTTGTATTATGTGTCAACTATCAAAGTCGTACTGTTAAGTATATTAAAATATACTTTTCATAAGATTAGATGTAAGATATAATTGTACGAAGGTAACTGAGGAACGACGATGTGTAAGACAATAAATCATACATACAGTGAAAAACGCTCTTTTTGTAGCACATCCTACATGTACATATCGGCAGCATTTTCCTTGCGATAGTAACTCCTAGTTCAGTAAGTTTGCACTTGTCACTCATCAGAGCATTACTTAAATATTTAGCACTTTCATGTGTTAAATCATTGTAGTTTATATATAATTCAGTAAGTTTGCACTTGTCACTCATCAGAGCATCACTTAAATGTTTAGCACCTTCATGTGTTAAATCATTGTAGTTTATATATAATTCAGTAAGTTTGCACTTGTCACTCATCAGAGCATCACTTAAATGTTTAGCACCTTCATGTGTTAACTTATTGCGGTTTATGTGTAATTCAGTAAGTTTGCACTTGTCACTCATCAGAGCATCACTTAAATGTTTAGCACCTTCATGTGTTAACTTATTGCGGCTTATGTTTAATTTAGTAAGTTTGCACTTGTCACTCATCAGAGCATTACTTAAATATTTAGCACTTTCATATGTTAAATTACTGTTGCGTATGTCTAATTCAGTAAGTTTGCACTTGTCACTCATCAGAGCATCACTTAAATATTTAGTACCTTCATTTGTTAAATAATTGTAGCTTATGTCTAATTTTGTAAGTTTGCACTTGTCACTCATCAGAGCATTACTTAAATATTTAACATTTTCATGTGTTAAATTATTGTGGCTTATGTCTAATTCAGTAAGTTGGCAGTGTTCATTCTCATTCATCAGTAACTTGGTGAATTCACGGAAAGCCAAATGCTCCATGACACATTTAGTAATATTAAGCTTGTGCAAGTTGTTTACGTAACTTAGAAATTGAAACAAGGCAGTAGCTTCCACTGGTACAATATTTAAATTGCTTAAGCAAACTTCTTCACCATCATCCTTACGCTGGTAGGAGGCAATTAATTTCGTAACACTTTCTTCTTGCATTTCGTGCACACATTTTATCAGAAACAAGGCGTTGTTGTTTATTTGTCCTACCTTCGGCATCCAGTCTTGGAATCTATACAAAGATATTTTAAGAAAACTGAAATTTTACGAAAGATATCATTTCGTGATTGAGGGAGGTGATTGCCGATTTGCAGTTTGAAAGGTAATAAGGTTACATATCAAATGAGAATATTCCATTTTACCAAAATAGGCGCCGCGCGCGCTCATTTTATGAGGTTATATATTAACTAAAGTTAATAGGTAGTGAACCATCCGATCTGAAGTGAGACTATGATTAAACTCTCCCTGTCCCTCCCTTATCAGAATACAGGTATGCGGATTTTAAAGTTTTTTACCAGCAATTTTATTGGTATTAGAAAATGCAAGCTCCTGCCAGTTAAGATACAATTTGCATGGATATTTCCGTAGTATCACCGCGAGTTCCTAAGCCACTTCGGTCAACAGCTTGCACGTATCCATCCAAATTTGTAAGTATGGTCATCGAATATATTGTGACTGCATGTATATCTATGGTCAACGTAGATACTATAATCTAGTTTAGTCGGATCTTATACTGATTTCGCAGGCGTCTCCAAAAAACGGACTTGCGGTTTTAGTTACCCGCAGAACTCGCAGAGGCATGCAAAATATAATATTTCTCATCAAATTGTCGAAGAACAAAACTTGCACGCTTACGTATTCGCATTTTTGGGCATGTCTGTACACATACAGGAAGCCCAGGCTCTGCTTGTAGCTCGCATCCAGCCTTTGGCCGCGGCAGGCTTAATTTAACTTTCCTTGAAACAAGGGATGGAAAGAAAGATGGCGCGCAAAATAACCTAAACTCTCTCCTCCAGAGAGCCTATAGTTAAACACAATGATTAAATACGAAAGACCAGCTATATTGTTAACTTTGTTTAGTCACTTGTATATAGACCAGCTATATTGTTAACTTTGTTTAGTCACTTGTATATAAACCTTCCAATCAATAAATGAGTACATATGTCTAGCCCATTAGATTGGAAGGGTTCCTGGTAAAATGTCGTGGTACAACTGATTGCTGAAAATGCTTGGCATAGGGCAAATATCTGAGAAACGTACGATAACGTACACTTTAGAAAAGAGCATCCCATGATCCCATCCGAGTTCGCGTCATCAAATTTCCATTTTGCTATTTACAGCGCTTTGCCTTTGACAAAGTGCATCGCATTGTTCTGAGACCGTTGGCGCGTGAGTTGACTGGAATTTGCTCAATATGCAGCAAGGCTCATCTTTTCATTCTTTGCGGAAAACTCGATAAACGATTACCTGAAATTGAACATTTAGACTTTGAGGTTTTATGGACACACATTAGACCACCAAGATTACCAAGGGGAATTAACGGCATTGTTTCTGCGTGCGTCTACCATCCTCCGAGTTCCAGCAATACAGATCTTTTTCAATACCTATCAGACTCACTGACACTACTGGAAAGTCTTTTTCCAGGCTGTGGAATTATTATTGCTGGTGATTTTAACCACTTTGACACTAAAGATCTTTGCCGAGATTTTCAGTTAAAACAATTGGTTGATAAACCAACTCGTGTTGCCAAGATTTTGGATCTTATACTTACAAACATGCATAAATTTTACGATGTACAACCAGCCATGGTTTTCCCTCCTTTCGGATTATCAGACCATAATGTGATAATGGTTGAGCCCAAAGTTAAAACATCATCAGAAACCACAAGTAGAAAGACAGTAATAAAAAGAGACATACGTCAATCACGCAAACAAGAACTTGGTCGATATCTGAGTAACTTTGACTGGCAACTTATCGATTCCTCCGAACCGTGCGATAAGAATTGTGATATCTTATGCTCCGCAATAAAGACGGGTTATGACATCCTTATGCCTGAGAAACACGTTAAATTCCATCGCAACGACAACCCATGGATAACCGAAAAATTGAAACAGCTGATCAAGTTTCGACAACGTGCGTTTTCATCTAATAACACTACTCTTTTCAAATTCTACCAAAATAAAGTGAATAGAATGAGAAAATCTTGCCGGGCAGACTATTTTGCTTCAAAAGTTGCTAATCTGAAAAAGTCTAACCCCAAATCTTGGTGGACAGAGGTTAAACGTATCTCCGGTATGAGACCTGTATCTGGCAGTTTGCTTAACCAACTTCATGTCGAAGATACAGAACATTTAACACCCAAAGGTTTTGCAGATTTAATTAACAAAAGCCTAATAGAACCAATGAATACTTATGATCCCTTAAATGTTACAGATTTGAACACCTTGTTTGAGGAGATTCCTGATTATCCGTTAGATGTAAACATGAATTTGACAAATACTGCATCGGTCTTGAAAAAACTGAAAAGCTAGAACCCGCATAAAGCTCCGGGCCCTGATGATATCCCAAATTGGATTCTTCGTGATTATGCCGAAATCCTTGCTCCCTCTATATCGGACTTATTGAATTCGTCCTACAAGCAAAAAAGACTGCTCTCATGCTGGAAACAAGCTAACATTACACCTATTGCGAAAGAGAAACCTATTAAAGACATAAGCAAACAGCTCCGACCTATCTCGTTAACTCCGGCTCTGTCTAAACTTGCAGAAGAGTTTGTTGTTGAAAAATATTTCGCTCCAGCAGTGTTGTCGTCAATTGATCCTTTTCAATTTGGGGGCATCCCTCGATCATCTGCTACAAAAGCCTTAATTTCTATGCTTCATGCGTGGACTCAAGCCACAGATGGACCTGGAAACGCTGTAAGAGTGGTTATTTTTTACTATAAAAAGGCCTTCGACTTGATTGATCATAAGATCTTAGCCACGAAAATCATCCAATTGCCAATGCCAAATTTCATTTTCATTTTCTGATGAACAGACAACAACGGGTGAAACTTGCAAGAGACTGTATGTCTGAATGGATTGACATTCCTTGAACCAAATTGGGACCTTGGTTATTCATCCTAATGATAAATGA